CTTTGAAAATCTTTTTTTTTTCTTGTAGTTGGCTTTAAATAACATTAGAAAATATGAGCTCAAGATTTTTCAAAATCTTGTCTTGTAAAACAACATAATTAACTTGAACTTGAAAATTTTTCAAATAAAGTAATTTTTAATAGGTTAACCCATTTAGGTCTGTGCCAAAACTGGATGACAGCACCAAACTAACTGTGCCTATCATAGGCAAACCGAAAAAAATACTCGTGTTTTTTCTTTTGCCATTTGAAATTGTTGATAAAAAGTTATTTACATAAATTACTTAAAAAATTATTGTATATCAAATCTGATTGCGGCAATCGATTTTAAGGAAAAAATATGAAAAAAATGTGTATAACATTTTTTGACAGCCTTCAGTTTATTATAGAACATAGCTATCAAACAATGATCATGTAGCTCGATTGAATTTTTATGCTGTTTTATTTACGTGTTCTTCTCGGTTTCTTTTGTAGAAGGGAACAGAACATTTCTGGTAATAAACTTGAGTTTTTATCTGAAACGATGATACCTCACATATTTTCTATTTACATTGTTTTATTAAGTGATTATGTGATGAACAATCACTTGAACTACTTCGCTTTTAAGGACGTTTATTCACAAACCTGTTGCACAACATCTTTCAAACCTTTTGATAAGTTTGGGTGGAGCTTATAAATTAAAAAAGAATTAGTCAATGAGGTCTGATGGAGTCGTATAAAAAGATAGCACGTCCATTTTTTAGTTCTAATTGTAGGCATCAAAACACTGTAATATTGGTCATCAAATCCACTAATGTTTTGGTTATACGTCGAAAATGCTTCAGGAAAAAGAATTGTCCTCTCAAATGAGTCATGCTATTTGTTGAAGACACTGACTGTTGGAGCTGCGAATATTTATTGCCGTTTTACACTAACAAATTAAAGTTCGACAAAAAAATGTTAAGCATATTGTTCCCATATTTTTTCCCGTAGAATCAATTGCCGTAATCAGGTTTGAAAGACAATATATTTTATAAACAATTGCAAACGGCAAAAGAAAAACACGGGTTGTTTTTTCGATTTGCTTATAAATGGCACAGTTATTTTGGTGCTGTCATCGAGTTTTAGCATAGACCTCTAGGTTAAGTATGTCAGATATCGAAATAAAAATGTATCGAATCATTTTTAGCAACAATAGACATTTATTTATTTTTCAAATTTTATAAAAAATAATATAACAAATTATTAGTAACAATACAGTAGTTACAAATACTATAATACAAAATGCGAATATTTTCAACTAAGTACTTTTGTTACATTCTTTAATTTTGCATTGACTAGATTGCATTTAGGTGGTTTGAGTGGAAAATGATTACATGAAAGTTTGATGAATATTTTCTTTTTCTCTTCATCACCGATGTTATCCATTGTAAAGATATATATGAGAAATAAAAGTTTCACGATACTTAATTTTCCGCGCGACATCTTTGGTATTTGTTTCCATATTTCAGTACACGTACAATTTACTCTATCTACTTTGAAAACAAAAAAAATAAATAAAAAAATAAGAAGTACACGCATCAGTATGAACATACGGAAATTTACGTATGGTTATTATTATAATTTTTCTAATTGCGTTCAACCAGTCGATGCCATGAATATGAAACTTACACATTATTCAAAACATGAATAAATAGAATAAATATAAATTGACTTTGAGTTATACATCAATCGGAAATGTATTGTTGTTGTATCAATAAAAATTTTGAAGTAATTAGTCTAAAACTTTTTTTACAATGCTAAGGCACAAATTTTTATAACGCGTTACAATTTAAGGTCTTGAAAAAATTATATATTTTCAATTTATAGCTTTACAACTGTAATCGATGATCCAAAATAAACTATAGCATATTATTGGTTATCATTTTTTCCATAAAAACCCGTTTTTTAATTTCGATTCGCCCTTATAGCATGATTATAGTGCAGTAATGAACATTTTTTAAGTTTTGAGGATTTGCTCATATACATACACGTTTGCAATGTACACACAGTATGGAGTCAATACCAATCATTGTGGTCGTAATTGTTTATGCCCTCTATCTCTATCTCTTTCTCTCTCTCTTGTGTATGTATACACTGTCCTCATCGTCTACAGTTCGCGTATACACACTTTGTGACCCAGCTACGGCACTTCAAAAATCGCACTAATTGCAGTTTCACGTTTCAACGATTCGAATGGAGCATTTATGAATTTCGAATTGATCATTTAAATGTAGCTTATTATTCGAATGTTTTCTTTTTTTAATATTATCCAATTTGCGTACATAGTAAATAATATGATATAAGTAAATAATATACAATAACCAATCTGCGTAAATAGTAACAACGCTAGGTAAGACTAATTATTGCAGTGACAAACAGTTGCTAATACGATGCTCATTTGCCTTTATGATACTGAATTATTTATTTGGATTTTCAAACTTTTCACGGATTAAACAATAATGTTTTAAAACAATTATCTATTTTTGTCTCAATAACTTTATTCTTCAAGTTAAGCTATAGTGACTCATCCGAAAGTATTTATAAAACTGCTCACTACTATGTGATACATCATTAACACTGTATACTTTTTTCTTTTATGAATAAGTTATTGTAATAACAACTGTAATTACAAAATTGCAGGATATAACCTACTTATGTTCGAATTGCATTATATCTTTTTGAAAAGAATACGTGCAATACGGTATCATTTGGTGTAATATTCGTAAATATGCGTTATGCAATTGTAAAAGAAGTAAAAGAGATGCTGCATCTGATCCAGGCACGTAACAACGAAGAAAGCCCAACTGTATACAGCATAGAGAAACATTTCATGTACAATATTTAATAAATCTGGCGTGGATACGTTACGAGATGCGCGCACGTCACAGTTAAAGTCGTAGTAATGGAAAATTATTACTAAATCCGCGGCTAGAGCGGCAGTAGTTTTAGGTTTGAGTCTTTCGTAATATATCTGTATCTTGGGATGTGCTCATTACAAAATAAATTCGCGAATATCGTTCTCTCAAAGATAAAACCCGCGCAGGTAACAAGCGGGGGTACAACATTTCTGCAGTCAAGATGTAGAAACCACAGGCCTTCAAATATCAATTGCAAGCCCAAGAGAGAATGAAAGAGAGAGGAAGAGAGAGAGAGAGAGAGACGGCGGGAGGGGGGCAAATGGTCAAGTGGCAAAGATGGAAGAGGTAATCCGGGCGCAAAATTTGAAGCCGAGGAAGAGAGATAGGCAACAACATCAAAGGCTCTTGCGCAACCTCAGTGCCCATTACCGAAGCGATTCTGCCTAAGAGTCAAGTACCTGCTGCTGCTGCGCTGCTGCTGCAGCACTGAGCCAAACATCTAGGGGGCATTATTGCCGTCCCCTGGCGAGAAGAAAAGGCTATTGCAAGCCGCTTAAACCCCCTTCAGGACCCACACAGGAGGGCGAGAGAGCTTTGGCTGCCGGCCGATTGCCGATGCTACTCTTTACGAGGGCTGCTCTCACGAGCGCCCACGGCTGTGAATGATTGACGCAGCCTTCTGCCCTTCGCTCGAGAGCTTATTTCGGTTATCGGAGGCTCTTGGTATCGCCGCGCCCGTACACGCACGGGCACGAAGGAAACTCCTCCGGAGTACGCTAATTTCCAACAGAAACTGCTTGCCTGCGAGTCGCGTCGGGCCGAGCCACGCCGAGAGTGCAAAGTTACGTCTAAATATGCATAAGCAGTTGTAGTCGCGTCAAAGCACCAGAACTCAGTCATCATCTCCATCGCTCAGACTTGCGCGCCCATATAAGCCTTTAATCAGCGTGGCTGCAGATTGGAGTGCGCCGGTTAAGCCGCCAACAAATAACTCCGCGGCAAGAGCCACGTGTACCCACGAGCAAGCTGTGGGCCCGAGTGCTCTGTGTGCGCAACCGAATATAACTCTCGGCCGATGCTCTCTCGGTTCGAAAATGCGAGCTCGTGACTTAATCGACACGACAAGCGTTTATCGCGCCGGTGTACGTTTTGGATTATTCAGAGCTCCCTTTTCTTCCTAACTCCCAAGTTTATATACCTCGTGTTTGCCAACCATTAAGCTGGATAAGCGTATACCTTGTGACGTTTGAATAACAATTGCAGGTATGCTGCGTTTTGTCATTTTAAGCGCTTATTCTAGACTTAACTTAAGCGTACGTCAACTCGATCTTTAATGTTAACATTTACAGCGACGATTCGCAGCGAAGGGTGAATTTTCCGCCGACTGCATGCTACAAAAGTGGATTCGCTCAGTCATCTCTCGCGAATATATCACTCGTAGCGAAATAGAGCTGTTATCGCGCTTTGGAATTCCGCATTGAAGTAATTACTTTCTGAAAGTGCTGGAAAATCGTCGGCTGTCGGCGCGGTTCTCTCTTTGGTTACACGGCGCGAGAGGATAAAGCGATGCGACTGTACACGTAGAAAAATACTGCTTGATTTTCGAAGACTTTCATTTTACCACGATGCGTGGTTTCTTTCTTGACCCAGTTCTAAATCTCGGACGCTGCTCGATATCCGTTTTTTTTTCTCTCATGCCGATTGAACGCTGACGGATGTCGCACAGCCAAGGTAATAGAACGACGAAAGAAGGTTCAGTGGGTGTTTAGGCTTTATAATTTGGCGTAGCGGCGCGGCGAAGAACAAACTGCGTATGATCAAGATGGTCCTCTCTCGTAGATTTAAGAAGATAAAAAGAAAATCGTTACCCGACGCTTGTGCATGATGGTTGCCAGTGGCGGAATGTACAGCGTTAGTAGCCGCTGTTGCGACTTGCTTGAGCGCTGTCAGCACCATCATCTTGGCGGCTCAGCGCTTTATTATGTTTTGTTTCTTCGCCGTCTTCTTCCTCGTTATAAGCTTTTTTCGGGCTTTCTCCTTTTCTTCGTTGCGCTCTCTCTCTCTCTCTCTCTCTCTCTCTCTCTCTCTCTCTCTCTCTCTCTCTCTCTCTGTCTCGCACGTTGCACGTTAGCCGACCTCACCACTGCCGAGCGCGTGAAAGGCACTTGCTCCTCTTCTTTTTGCTCGGCTGTCACGGGCTCATTTCATCGCTCGCTCGACACACCTAACCTCGCTTTCTTTCTGTCCGTTTGAAAGAGAGCACGACGCGCGCACACACAAACACATTCCACCCACAGGTTCAAAAAGAATAATAGAAAAAAATACATATCCGTCGTCACAACACACGATAATAGATTTTACACGCAACACCAGTCGGAGGAGACATCGTAACGGTACAAGTTTCGCAACCTCGTATACGACGAGGACGCCTCGACGACGATAACTTTCTCGGCGTATCTCGCGCTTGCTTCAGTCTTTGAGACTAGACTGTTGCTGGCTCGGCCTTTCCCTCGGCGTTGAGCCGAGGCCCCTCGCCTCGCGAGCGAGGCACACAGCACGGCGGGCCCCTCTCCGTTCCTGCAACGCCACCATATATTAAATAAGAGAACGCCGCCACCACCGCCGATTCTCTCTCGCTCTGTCTGCGCCCGTGACGCTATCGCGCGTGCTGCGCTGCCGTTGCAGGTTTTACTCGCTTGGTATTACAGCGAGCTGCTGCCGCTGTCGCTGCTCCTGCTTGCCGTGATTGGCGAAACAGCGGTCAATTTATTGCATTCGGATTTAACTTCATCGATTGCGTGTCTCTTCGGCCCGACCATTCTATTATATTCATCGTTCACTTCCAAGAGGATTCCATCTTCGTTTTTACGGACTGCCGCGATGTTATTATTAGCTCGATGTGCGTGATGCATTATTTGTTAATCGTTCGCTTTCGCCGTCTCTGCTGCGTGGACGTTTTGCTGAGTAGTCGTGGTGGCTTTCGCGCTATTGTTGAAAGACTTGCAGCGGCGGCAGCGGTGGGTGCTGATTGAAACGGCAGCGCGCAGCGTTGGCGAAAGAACGAAAGATACATTGGGAAGAATTAAGGAATCAAAGTTGTTCCATTAAAAAAGTTTTGCTACGTTAATTAAATCCAACTGGCAGCTGCGCGCCGAGCCCTCTGCGCAGCGGAGCTAGTACCGTTGGAAACAATTTAAATAATTGAAACGCTTCCAAGTCTTTATAAATACGCGTGCGTACGAGCTACTCCGTTCTGATTGACGCGATTTTAATGCGAGGATGCACGCACGTGTGCCGGAAATTACTCGTATACTTACGTTAATGAAACACGATCAAAGGGAGCCCCGTGGCGTGATTTTGGTAAACTCACCTGTAACATAAAACACATGATATCGTGAGCCACGTTGATAATTAGAACAAATTTGCAATTTACAGTCAAAAGTTTGATGAGTTGTTTTTACGGGGCATAATAAGGAAAAGAAAATCGCTGCTTAATTGAGACGAGGTAATTGAGGAAGAGAGATTACTTCGGTCATTGTCGAAGATTTATCGCGACAAGAGAAAAAAAACAATTTTTCCCGCCAGAAAAGAATGTTACGTCAGATGGCGTCAAGTGAATAATGACAAGATAATCTATTGTAATTAATCGTTACGGAACGCTATAATAATCATTCGGCTCATTTGGTTAAGTTATGTCGTAATCCTTCGAAATATTAGATAAGACACATGCGCGAACGAAGTTTCGAATTCAATTGTCTCCTTCGGTATGATTACAATCAATAATCATTTCCGCGCGCATAAAAGTGAAGGAGAAACTCGAGATAGCTTGGCTCCGTTATAACTCAAGTGCTAGGAGATGATCATGTCCTCTTTAATGAATATCAAGTTCACAGCTAACTAACGCGTCGATAAATTGACCATCATCGGCTTACAGCTAAGTTGCACGGTACATACGGAGAAAGAAAAGCAACGATGCAAATGAGCGTCAATTGCCATAAGATCATTAACTGGAACTATCGCCGGTACGATTTGATAATATTAAATCGCCGTTAGCAATGAGCTGAGCTTCAATTCGCATATCTCTTGCCTGCGTGCACACGATACTACATTTTTTTAAATTTTGGATGTGCAATTATCGCACAGCTATAGACAGACAATTTCTCGTATGCACCAGTACCACCCATGAGCAAACGTAACAAATCAAGCTTAATTACAAACGCAGTGAATCCACCAGAGTGAGAGAGCGAGAGAGAGAGAGAGAGAGGTTCGCCGGGTTCGCCGTTGGCTCACGTCCAAAGCTGCTACTGCAGCTCAGGTGCGAGTCCGCAGTCAACACTAAAAAATCCTTCTATTTTATCGGCGCTGACATCCAACACTGCGCGACAAAATTCTTTTATGCATCGGTAAAATCGCTCTCTTTTCTCTTAAATACATTTTGTATTTCGGAGTATTGACAAATGAGTAGGAAACTCGCGTTAATTCCGTCGTTCACGGCTGTTTTATTTTTACTCTAAGAACTATGTAACGACTGCGGCAATCGAACAATCGATTAAGAAATAATGTAAATAGGGCGAATAGCTATAATCAAGCCAAGGTTTCGCTGCAGCTGCAGCAGCTGTACACCGAGCGATTAGAAAAGGTTTATGACCTAAGCGGCTTTATGAGTGTTAAATGGTACAAAAATGCAGTCATATAAAAGTAGTCGCGGATTCAAATGCAATCGCTTTACAGTGGTAAGTAGTCACACATGTTTCGGTCAGGCGTACACAGGAATAAAGATCTAAGGGTAGCTTAATATAGTTCAGAAAATTGATTCTTACGTGATATTGATTATGAAATTTCGAATCAGTATGATCAATGTATTAAAACTAAGCAAATAAAAAGTGATAGATTAAACAAAAACTTTTATTTCAAACTTTTGTTCTAAATTCTGTAACACTCTAATTCGCTCGATTCACGCACAGCCTGTTGCAGACATTTTTCAACCAAATCACTTTTGAGAGTACATTTATCTATTATTTTATATACTTTGATTGAAGCTATATTTATATTACGTGCAGATATAATGAACTATTTTTTATTGACCAAAAAAACAATAGTCAATATTTTAACATGTTTTTTGCTTTGAAATTGTGAAATGTAATATCCAAAAACTTAAACATTTTATATATAGCATTGTTATTTTCTGTAGCTATTAAAAAAATGTTGTGTCTCTCGAGAAGTTATTTAGATAATGATTACAGTCAGGAGTTGACGCGAAAAAAAAATTTATTCGAAAATAATGGTTCACATTGAATTAGATATAATAGTATCGATATTTTATATGTCCTTTAAATCAGATTGCCATTAATGTTGAAATGATTTAATCAAAAAGTAAAAACAATGAACTATGCGGTAAACCTTGTGCTTGAACATCTGACCTTGCAAAAATTGAAGGTTCAAGATGATGTGAATTTTCTTGATCGAAGGACAGGAGAAAGCTGCGGGAATAACATGGAGTTGTATAGTGAGGCACAAAAGCATACGCGGATGAGAGAGAGAGAGAGAGAGAGAGAGAGAGAGTTGGGAGCGCGTGGCTCTCTTGTCTGTGTCAACAACAGAGAATGAAGGAGAGATAACACCAAGACGTTGCACGATCCATTATCGTTGGCAAAAGGACTTCTCACATACTTCATGCACATACATCCACACACACATACACATACATCCACATACACACACACTCTCTTGGTTCAAGGAAATTCAGGCAAACGTAATCAGCGGCGCTTCTTCGCCAGAAGCTGCTGGTGCTACCACCCGGCAAACACCCTTCCGTCCAATGCCATTCCATCCTTTTTGCTTACGTGGGCGTGAACGCTTTTGACGCGCGCTCATAGCAGCAGTAGCAGCTTGAATAATGACGCGGTACTCTCAACGTTTCATTGGGTTAGAGAAATTGCAGTTGATAGTGTGCGAGCTATGCGGATTTTCAGACTTATACCCTTATATATACATACTATGATTTCGCGTGCTTGTATGTATACAAATAGCCAACCTTCCTCTTTCCTTCTCAAAAGAGCTGCTTGTGATTAATTATGTTAATTAACACGAACTCGTTTACAAGGTCGCAAAACCTATACGCACCTAAAAAAGTCATGTTTTGCATGTTATATCGTGGCTATTATAATAAATGTGTTAACTCGTTAGTTGATTATTTCTCGTATTATATTTGAAATCAGTATGTGAGTGACTTATAACTCGAGGGGATCGATACAATTATTACTGTATTAAGAGCCGCGGTCGAGAGCTGCAGGCGAGTAGGTACAGAGTACATGACTCTATACAATAATGTGGCAATTTCAGCTCCTTCGAAATCTCTCGATTGGTTTCCGCCTCTATATGCATGACACGCTGACGTTTCTATTAAGGGAATCGAAAGCGCTTAGCTTATCATCTTTCATTTTAATAAAAGTTTCAATTTATTTAATACAGTTTTGAGAAAGTTAATGTAATTAATAAATGAATAAGATTTGAACACGATCACATGTGATTTTCCTCCAGACTATCTTTTAATCTTAAATCTTGTCTGAGAAAAGTACCTGGTTATCTTAATGTGTGAGCATAATCACTTATTTGTCTTATCTGTCTTATTTGTATATAGGCAGATCAAGTAATAACCTCGAAGCTCTTTATAATATATCAATACACTATAATATAAAAAATAAACAAATATGTTTAACAGATTATGCAGCTTTTTAGTAGCTTAGTAGATAGGCAGATTTTTAGTAGCTTCTACTATTATTTGTTTACATATGAATTTTTACTATGAATAGATGCGAATGATGTCCAAGCAGGCAAAGTCAAAATATGAAGTGTAATCACCAATTTCCATTTTATAACTGTAAAAGTTATATAAAGTTATCAAACTATATGATCAGTCATGAAAGTTTGCAGTATATCTTTTATTATGTATTCGGGAATTTAAGCCTATAGTTTAGATATGTCTTATTAGATTTTCTTAATCGATAAGAACCAATAAACGAACAGAGGTACTTTTTTTAAATTAAGAAATCACATAAAAATATCTACTAATTACAACCGTGAACGTCTACCAAAGTATATTATTTACATCGCGAATGATATGATTATAGAAAATTACAATGTTTTTAAAACTTATATTACATTTTTTATTTTTTTTCAAGCTTTTGAACGATGGTTTTTCAACACAGAACTTCGGATGGTAAAACCTTTCTAATATTTAAAAATAACGTAACTGCATATTTATTTACCAATAACTAATTTATCGGCTATATCTCATATAAAATTAAGAGAATAAATTTAATACATCTTGAATTTTCGAATTTTCCATTTCGCAAATAAAAGTTTTGATTTATATTCGTGCAAACAGAATTAATTAAAACCAAATTAATTAATATAAAAACTCGTATCTAATATATTTTATATTAGGCAACTCCGAACTTTTGTTACTGCAACAAGTTTCACTAAATAGATAATACAACTACAAATAACATTGATTGTGCTAATAACTCAACTTACACTCTGGTGCTACAATATAGTTGTGACTGTAACCATGCAGCAAATATTATCGTTACTTTAGAGTTAATAGTACAACGGCCCTTCACTGTAAGGCAACTATACAATCTTGCAAATAAAAGTGGCAGCAATAATGTAGTTGTACTACTTTCTAAGAATGTACAGCGCAAGTAACACTGCGGCAGTCTATCTTGTATAATCATCTCGTTATACCTCTAAAAATTCTGAAGCTAAACTATTCTTTTTCAGTTTTCTCTCTAAGACTACATATTTACTAGGCTCTTATAAATATATTGACATAATTAAGGCTCAAATTTTCAAATATTTCAACACTTTTTTAGCATCATAAGCTTTTGAGCGTAAAGCAATTCATGCTTCCTAGTTTTGAAACAACTTGAACTATCGAGATTCAGAACAGCTCGAGCTTTCGTATAACTTTGCGTACGGAGCTTATAAATGCGTATTAAAGCTTCAAACATTTTCAACTATGAGAATTTTCAGATGGAACAATTTTACTAAATATTAACAAGTTTAACTAAAAATGACAATCGTTATCGAAAATGATTTAAATAGCTCAGAAAGCTCAGATGTCGCGAAAGCTAGGGTCACCTCCAACGATCGATTCTAGGCTATAGATTGTTAGAGATCGAACTTTAGCTTAAGCTTTTAAAGGGATCTATAATGTATCTCTATTGATTAAGCTTTTATTATAACATATGCGCAAAAGATATTTTATTAAAAAAAAATACTCATTGGAATTTTTTCGATGATTTCATATATAAACTCCGTCTTTCAAATACGATCGAGGATGTGATATATTAAATTTTTTATTTTATT